ATCTAACATTTTTTGTCAAATTTCGCCAAAAAACCGGATACCCCAAAAATTGACGTGAACTGTGCCTTTAAACCTACTTGTCTTCATGGGTTTGGGTTGGGTAGCGCGTTATAGGACTTTGCACTTTATCCTTTTCATGTCTTCGCGTTGAAATTGGACTGTAGGAGCTATAAATTGTTCATTTCCAGGCATCATCAACGGCAACATCCGGATGGACAATAAATCTGTTCCCAACACAAACCCCTAGTCCGTCAGTGATGGGCAGAAGTGGTCCTATTGGAAAGAAAGTGGTCAGTCTAACCTCGAGGACTCTTTTGAGCCAGAACTTCCAATGCGAGCTTCAGGTTGATTCCGCTCTCTTTGCACGGTCTTCGTTTCTGTCGCAGTCGCTGAGCAAAACTGGTCACGCTTCCGACCCTGGTCCTAAAGCTTTACCGACATCTCCACCGGCTGCGCCAATCCAGTCAATGGCTATTGATGGAACTCGAAGTGACGAGGGCGATACTAGAGAGGTCGGTGTTTCTAGAAATATCCGAGAACCAGAAGTGCATAACCTTTGCGGGGCAACCAGTGAGCAAGGGGGCCACTTCGCCCATGAGCTTTCATATTTTCAATGCCGTTTCCAATTGATAGAGCGGATCTAAGCCTGTTCGAGTTGTAAATAAGTGGATGTTCGACATTCCCAGTCTTTCAGGTACTGCAATCACCGTCAGCCGCGTTAAGAACCCTGATCTCGCATCACACTCCAAGCACCTCTGAAATGCTCAAACGGCCTGTACTAGCATTCGTTGTCGAGCATCACGATTTGAAAAGGTATGTAAACGAAATTGCTCGCTTAATGTTGTAACCAGGCGTGCGGTTGCGGTGCTGTCAGTATTGCAGCCTACTGGCCATGCATAAATGTCTGAAAGTGGAAATGAAGGAACAATAATTTTGTTGTTTCATACTCGATCCTTTTTAGACTTCGAGCTGCATGCGAGCAGTCGATTATACGAGCGATTGGGTTTTCACATGCTTTTCGGGTTTGGAATTGGTTACTCCGTTTAGTTTCGTCAGAGACCAGGTACTTAATATCTGTTCAATGTTCAAGTCGGGTTCTTCCATTTTCCATTTGGAACCTCGTATTTTTGTAGTTTTTCTGAGAGTTGCTCTTCAGGGATCTTTGTAGATCCCATTGATCATAGCCTATTTACTTGTTTACTTATTTCCAGTGTCTCCGACATCATCCTACAGTACCTCACAGCGCTTTCATCGTACAGTTCTTTGTCCGAAATAGTATCTCCACAAGTGGTGCGAGTGCTTCCACATCCCTGGAGATTATGCTTCCTGGCTGGGCCGTTGGCAGGTAACCATAAAAACGTCGACTTCCTTTTGAGTTTTAACGAATTTCATATCAACTCAAGGAACATTCATGCACCGTTTTTGAAAGTTTTGCCTCGGATTCGAAGTTAATTGATTTTTTGGGTTCGGCCAATTCCCATTCATCATGCCAATGTTCTGTGATGGGCCCATACATTTGACTCTCACTCGGAATCGCTTGGATTCGTAATCGACCTACAATATTATTGGTGGAGCCATGATAACCAGTGTTTTTGTGCCCAAAAGAGGAGACATAATTCACATGATAAGGTCTCGCTTCGTGCTCCAAAGATTGTGCCCCTGAATTTGAGTTCGCGCATCACTCCTTTACCCCTGGAGTACTCTCCATATTTTACTTTATTTTTTTTCAATCAGTACATTTGCCTAGGTATCTGGGCTTTGACTTGACCACCCATAAAACCAGTCCATGCTCAAGTCAAATTTTTGGCTACCTTATGTAACATTGCTTAAAAGAACATTAGTTGATCCGCCAGGGATTTTGCCGATGAAGAACAGGTCTCTTATCATAGCTCCACCCAAACTCTGAAGAGAAATTTAATAGGAACATTTGGGAGAATTCGGGTTACGTATGAGCAAATGTATGATTATATCCGTATGTATTATTATTATGTATGTATCCGAGCTTCTGTAAATGTGCTTCATTATAGCAAAAATGGTTCAACATCTCCACGCATTTCTCTACACCATTGCTGTCATACTGCAGTCGTCCGGGGTCGACGGTCGTCTTCGTTCGCTATGCTTCAAAGCGTGGACCATTCAGCTGACAGCTCATGAACAGGTAACTTAATCTGGCTCTGTTTTCTCTACTTTCTCCAAAGTCTTTTGCGAAGCCAACTCAACAGTTGGCAGCTGCCAGCTTTGACAGTGCTAATTCGACTATTGTTCATTCAGGAACTGCTCATTCTCACGTGTAACATCCTTGGAACGGTCGGTGGTGTACTGTCGGAACCATCAGTTTCTGAAAATTGGATAACAGATTCAGCAGACCGCTCTCACACCGTCCAAAAGGGTCATGAGAGTGTTGATGTCAAGGTTGGTGATTCCTAAAGTATGGCTGTTTAGTTGTTCCTTGAGAGCGCATGTTTCGAGCCAGAGCAACTAACTAGGAAACGGTGCATGTGCACCGTTTCCTAGTTAGTTGTCTCACCGCGCCTCACGTTTAGTGACCCTTGTCACCTAAAAAAGGGGAGGTCACAAAAGCTGGGTTTGAGCATCAAATAGTAGCACATATCTCCCAATTTTCCTTTATTTGCCAAAAAGGTCTAGTGCAATCGAATCATCTTTCAGGACGGAGGGTTTTTTGGCGTTAGTTAATCCTGTCGCTCGGCACACGCCATGAACTCACTTTCCATTCAGAATAATAGCGGCGTTATGTTTGTAGTAGTGGAATGGACTATAACTAGTGGAGGCTAGCTGATTGCAGTTCAATATTCAATACATTAATCCCCCATCCGAGTTTTTGAGGCGAGAACCAGTTGACCGAATTGGTATGGATTCAGGGCATGGTTGGCCTGGGCTGATATTCATCCGAGACCCGATCTCCGGTCCGTACATATGTGATGAAGCGCTGCTTGCCGCTACACCAGTTCTGCCCAAAAACGATGGTAATTTATGAGTGCATGGTTTAAGAATTACCAGTTTTTTAGGAAATGCGGGATGTAACAAGTCATGCTCGAATAGAAGCCAGTTCACGGCAGGCAATGGTGGTTTGTCTGACGGACGGAAGCCCTGAAACCTTCTGGGAAAGCGGTGATGAAGTTCGTTTTCCGATACTTCTCTTTTTTCTTTTTACAAACTTACTCTCCCCTCACCACCTGTTAGCAGTGCGCGACTTTTAAACACAATGATCTTTTTTGTTTATTTACTTTTCATGAAATGGTTTGTATTTTACGGCAGACTGGTTGCTACCGTTGCCGAATTTTTTCGTCCCGTCAGCGATAAACTCAGGCGACACTCACCATGTAGCCAAACTATCTCTCGTTTTTTTTCGATTCTTACTTTTTTATTTTCATTTCTTCAGGATAAAAGTCGTTCTCGTACGTTGAATGTGACATTTGATGGCTGTTCACCGATTCTTCTCTGCCTCTTCATCGACAATTCACGCGACGAAGCTTGCCGTACTTCGCAAATCGCCTTCCGTGCTGCGACATCCGACGGATCGCGACGAGATTTGATGTTGAAGAATCTCGATCAGGTGCTCAGAGCTAGTATTTTTTGGTTCTGAGTTTTACAGAAGAGCCTATATTTTGTCGAGTTCCTAAAAACGTCGATTTCCAGAATTTCTGCGGTTGGGTGAAGTGTTGCGTGGCCAATGTATCTCATGTCAATGTATCTCTGAAGGGACCTCACAATGCGTCCAGAGTGCGGCAGGTAAACCTTCTTTCCCTTTGAATAAGCTACTCTCAATTCATCGCCAGTATGCGAGCCAAAATGTTCAAAGCAAGCCTAAACCAACTGCTGTTTCCTAATCGTTTATCTGGTCAGAGTAACCCGAATTTCAAAGGGAAATCGGATTATTGTATTAGATTTAGCGCACATGCATACAAGTGCGCGGGCTGCGCTCTAATGGGCGGTACTGAACAACGAAACCCGACATTAACCATAAACCCTACTCGCCGAGCTCGATCAAGCTCGTTTCGAGGGTGGTCAATGTATAAAATGGTACTGTGGAAGTATATTGTTTATTTTCAGCTGCAACTATTGGGTTTCTTGCCGGATAGCAATGGAGAGGTAATACGGCCGTCAGCATCTCATCAGCTATTCTTCAACAACACTCAGCACGATGCATTCGCGTTGTTTCAAGCCATTTCTGCTCAGGTGGGTGCTTAACCTTTATAAAAGCAATTCTTCTTGGTCACGGATTACTTCTTGTGCTTTCAACATCGATTCCACGGATCATACTGATAAAATTACTCTCTCAGCCTTTGCGAAGCGAAGAAACTTCTAGGAAATGCAGTAAGCATAGCCAGGCTGCATCAAATTTTCATGCTATAATTTCAGGCGTTCTCAGGCGACAGTTGCGAACAGCAAGATGCGTTGCGTGAACGTGTTGTCGATTTGCTTTTCAGTCGCGTTACACTGCAACCGCTTCAGAATTACGTTTGTACACAAGTTGAAGCGGCATTGGAGAGGTGAGCGGCTTGCACTTCGATTTAACTTCAAAATAATTGAGGCGAGGTTTGTAGGTAACGGGTTGTCAAGGCTCATAGGCATTAGGTAGACAGGAGAATATGGAGGCATGCCTCAGATCCTTTGTTGGTATTGACGGTCACACATCGCCAGCTTGTGCTTGATATACCACCTCTTCATAGGAATGAGATAGTTGGCGTAACTAGCACTTTCAAAGCAAGTAAGGTGAGAGGGAAGGCTCTCGCCCGGGAACTGTGGAGTGGTAGTGGACGACCATTTAAGAAATTTCCAGAAATTCGCGGCTTTCTGTTGCTTGAACCCTTTCGCCCTTTCCCTGTCTAGGTGTATCCATGGGTGATTCGAGGCACTTTTAACAAACTAATAACTAATTCGAACTTGAAGAGCCATTTTCCGTGATGCCATGCTTTACCGTGCAAGTAGTAGGCAGCCAACCTCCTTTGCCCATACCTGACTTTGAATTCACAGAAAGCACCGAACTTACCCCTTTCTAAGTTTCTTGTTCGCCATGAGTTGTTTTTCAGAGAAGTCGAGCGATTATGCAGCCAAGGGAAAAGGAACTACTCTTATGCTGTCGGCTTACTGGCTATGGCAAATCGCATGTGCGAAACTCGAGGAATAGGCAATGGTGACGCTGACGTCGCCGCGAGACGTCAAGTACTCCTGGCTGCCAGTCGGTTACTGGCATTCGCTCCAGAGGTCAGTACAACTTATTTCCAGTTTCGTCCCTCTCAACATTAATTGTTCAGGCCGTCCAAACCCAGTGTTTGTCATCTTTGTGCAGTCTTTTGCCCACAGCTCATCCATCAACAGTCGATGTTTCGCGTCTTCTGAAGCATCTACTGGTACCAGTAGCTAAAGCACTAGTACTCCAAGTCAGGGATAAAGCGGCTCATTCGGTCACCACGGCTACCATGAACGTGAGTTTGGTCCTTGGAATTTAAACCGAGCTCAGGCTGAGCACGAAGGTTACCAAATTCTTTCATTTTCAGACTTGCCTATCCAATGCTCCACAAAGCTGGCGTACTGATCGCCCAGTGTCGCCTGAAATTGGCAAAATGACGGCACAATTCATCAATGACGTCTGGTTAGTGATATCCCAGAGCCTCTAGAGTTTATCATTTTCCCCCCACGAATCGAAATTTTCAAGCTCTGGCAACTTCAACGATGACTGGTCGGTATGTATGCGACGGGAATTGGCCACGGTACTGTTGGGTGTCGTGCAGTTGACGACATCGCTGTCGAAGTCAGCCTCTCTCGAGAGCATGAGCAAAGAGCCAGTTCACTCCATACTGAATTCCAAGAGGTAGGCTGAATCCTATTTATCTTAGAAGATGGTGTAGGAAAAAATGCTCATGTTTTTGAAGGTTCTGGCTATCCGTCGCCGCGTTGGCACTCGTACGGGACCGTTCATGGTTGGCGTTGAGTGAAAAGTGGAACGATGTAAGGACACCAAGTAGGGAACCGATAACCTTGTGTGAGAATCACGACGACGGTACCACACCGGCACAGGTTACTTCTTCAACATCTAATGCTGATTTCAGGAAATGTTGCAGATTACGGTATGTTACCGTATGAGCTTTGAATTTTGCTTTTAGGTGTTCTGTTCGGATTGCGAATGTGCATTGTGTCGTGAATGTTTCTCCGTGATGCATCTGCATAAGAGAAATCGTTCTCATCGGGTAACTTCGTTAGCCCCACCACCTGCTCGATTGGAAGAGATCGATATTCATCAGGGATGTGCTCGGATGCGGGTGGCCAATCTTTTGGTTCGTGAATTATCATTTACCCTCGAGAGCCTCTGCGGTAGCCTCAACCGCCCTTTTTCAGATTCTTTTCCATGGCGAGTCATTAAACGGTCTCGTAGAACTGCCTGCTGACCCATTCGCAATTTTCACGAATGCGACAAACATCACCGCCGGGCGATCGACACCGTCTGCCTGTAGGTTCTGTGGTAACGCGCTCGACCCGCATAATCAGGTACTTGTCGGTTATTCATTCACAAAGTTGTTTTCAGTGTTTTTTTTTTCAAAAAATCCCTGAATGTTCTTATATATTAATGGCCTTCCTTACAGCTAATGGGAGTCTGCTCGCATCCGGATTGTGTCCGTTTTTCGGCAACGGCCTGCTGCCGTAACTTACCGTGTGGACATCCATGTGGAGGTATTGCCGGCGAAAAGGAATGTCTGCCATGTCTCATGTGCGACAATGAAGGTAAAACCAGTTCTGTGCTTAACTAACCCAACCGCCAACCTGGATAGCCCTTCACGGAAGTCATAGCTAAGAGGAAGTGAACAGAAAAGGGTTAGAAATGGAGGAAAGATATCTTTTTCGAGCTGGTCGCTATTTCGACCTCCACTAGCTCCTGTTTTTCACAATCTCTCTAACGTGTACTACTGACTAGTCACTTACTCTGACGGCTAGTGGACGTTTTGATTGTTTCAGATGCAGCCCAAGATGGTGACGATGTGTGCGTCGTGTGCTTTACGGATCGCCTTTGTGCAGCACCCTGTATACGTCTTGGCTGTGGACACCTTTTGCACTATCATTGCGTACGGGCAGTTCTCGAAAAACGTTGGCCTGGTCCGAGGATTCAGTTCCGCTTCCTGAATTGTCCCCTGTGTAACGTGCAGGTGAGTTTCAGAGTTTGGGTTGTAGCGGATACGGTCGTCAGCACAAGATTCAAAGATCGCATCAAAACTTCAGATGTCACATCCCGGTTTAACGGATCTGCTAGAGCCCCTGTTGGCGTTGAAGGCAGAGGTTGCCCAAAAAGCGAACATGCGACTTGAGTTCGACGGCCTTCTGGGCTGCACCGCTCTGACGGATCCTGAAAGGTTTGCTTTTCTCTTTTCCATGTATTTTTCATCAACATATAAACACCGTCATGGTATTGTTTTTTCCAAACATAAGCTTTTAGCGAGTACTTCGGTCGTCCGGAAGAGTACGCCATGGATCGGTACATGTATGTGCTGTGTAATATTTGCCAGAAGGCGTACTTTGGTGGCGAGAGTCGATGTCAAATGGTAGGAACCTTAGATTTCATACCTTAGTTATGAACCTATGATTTTTATTATTTAAGATTGCAATTTTTATATCCTCACTAATAACAAAATGCCTGTCCGTGGACGGTGATTGGGTCATGCCAAATGGCGCGCTACCGCGCCTCTAGTCACAGGATTAAATCCTGGGCAGATACAGGACTTTAACCCTTTCATCCATCATTCGGAGACCAATCCTATGATACCAGATTCTTCTAGGAAGTACAAGTAGGAAATACAGTGTGGGAAAGTGTGGGAAATACAAGTATGCCGCCCATATTCATTTATGTAAGCCACATACGCATCAGCCGTAACCACGATGCTGAATGGAAATCGAGGTGATGGGCACATCCCGAGGTTTAACCTACCAGTGCTTAAGGTTTTCTCTGCAATAACATATGCCTGCCTGGTTTGTGAGTATGTTTGCCACGAAAGCTGATGCGTCTCAAAGAATCATCAAGGGCGGAGCGTGCTCTGGATGGGCGATATCACTGCTAAATTTAACAATATAATTCTAAAGAAGCATAGGCAAGAGAAATCTCTAGAAATTGGCAAAGTACATGATGTGTAGGAGGTATGCTCAGTACGTCAATCTCGTCCCAGTATGGGCGCGCTAAATGCTGAATTTCACAATACTGTTTCTGAAGGTTCTGAAGAAAAAACAGCTGGGCAGAGACCAGCAGCGAAGCTCAGGAAGGGGGGAACCAGGCAAGGGCGGAGCTCACACCAAATAGGGCGGAGTTGCAATAAGCGAAGAAGTCGTTTCAGAACGTTATCAGACCCGAAAAAAATGTATAGGGACTAGTAAAGAATCAGGAATCACGATGGAATTGACTACTACGTGCTTTTCAAGGCTCTAAAGCATTTTTTTTTCAGGCTCTCCAGTCATTCCAATACAATGCCGCTGAACTGGTATGTGGTGGCTGCTCGGCTCCGGCGGGTACGGAGGTGTGTGGTCGTCACGGAGCGGAGTATCTCGAGTATAAGTGCCGTTATTGCTGTTCAATCGCCGTTTATTTTTGGTAGGTATCGCTTCTTGTGATTTGCACAACTCTTTAGGGCTTATCCACCTCACTGTCTGCTTGCAGCTTCGGTACAACTCACTTCTGTGCCGCTTGCCATGATGATTTCCAACGACTCGTATGTCTGCCTCGAAATCAATTTCCACCATGTCCTACTGGTCCCCGAGCAACACCGGGTGAAGGTCCATGTCCTTTGCGACGACCACATCCACCGGCTGGCGAAGAATTCGCTCTTGGCTGTGGTATTTGCAGGAATATCAGCACTTTCTAGGCAAATATCGTTTGTTGATTAGTTTGTATTAGCTTTCACATTCACTCAAGTCTGTATAGGCCTTGATTTCGGACTGAAGAGCTTAACGGTTTTTTGAAAAATTCTCTGCGATTTCGAAGTGCATTTCATTCTAAGTAACGTACAACTTTGTTTTCACTTTTCTCATTTTCATAGTACACAGATGGATTTACATTTCCTCGAATTTCATCTTCTTGTTAGGCCGGTATTGGCAACGGTTCCTGCGTCATTGTGAACTTTGCATATGATCTCATTTCACGTATAATACTATGCGAACGGGTTTTATTTATTATACGTTTATTCTGGTCATTTTTAATGGTCAATAAATTTATTATTGATTTTGCCACAGTTTCATGTTATGGTCGGCGAATCCCCTATTCGTAAGCAGTCCGCTGGAACTCTGGTTAAACCAGTTTTAATGTCTGATTCCCTATTTAGTTATAGTCAAATTGTTTCGTATTAATTTTTACAGATTCAATTGAGTTTGTTGGATTCTGATTGAGGGTTAATCAAAATGAATTAGGATTAGGTAACATAAAGTAAGGTAAAGTTACCTCGAATCGAACGATTACCTCCTGGCGATTAGATCAGGGTGTGTTCAGCGAGAATCCTAGCTGCATCTACTATATAAAAAACAGCCCTTGAATAAGTCGATTTTGGAATGCGCTACGGATACGAAGACTATCAGCAGTGGCATCTTTCAGAGTAGAGCGTTGAGCGTTAAGTGTCGACGCAATGTAATGTGATGAATGTGTAGTATATTGCGAGAGAAGCATTGCGCAGCTTTGTTTGGAAATTAATATGAGCCAGCGCAAACATCGGGAGTGGCCTGACGCGGACGCTAAGGCGGCCTATGAACGCTCAACGCTCAACGCTCTACTCTGTAAGCGTCCAGCCAAGGTGATTTATTGCTTTAGCTTGAATGGTCGTTTGTGTTCTCTTCTGGAAGAAGTAATCAATTTTAGTAATTAAGCATTGAGCAAATCAATGTTTTGATCATTTCGAATGAGGCTGGTGCCAGTCGTAGGACCTAGAAGCCATGCATTTCTTACTGGTTTGAGTGGCACTTTGGGCTTGATCTCTGGCTTTGCGATTGGCGAATGCCCACCTTCTCTTTATTCGATCAGTGACGTCCTCATCTTCAGGTATATAAATGCGTCAAAATGAACATTGAAGGTAGAGAAATAAGTAAAAATCAAGGTCTTAAAATGCACGAAGCAAAAAATTGAATTTATTTTCGAATTGTTGTAATTCGAACGGATAGAATGAATTCCTACCCTTAGGACCTGCCATATCCTACGTTGGATTTCGCGGCTTCAATCTTTAAAAACATGAGTCTGATTACCATGAATTCCATATTCGCCACATATGGGTAAGTAAAAGCTGAGGGTGAGCGAGTGGTTACCTTTACCTTTCTTTAGGACTTCACAAAACTACTTAATTGATGAAGAGCTTTGTAAGCGTTAATGATTTCTCTTTTGATCTGAAATAATGACCTCCAAGAGCGGGAAAACATCTTTGGTGGCTGACTTGCGGTCACTCCTGCGTCTTCCTCTTACATTACTTGTTAACACTGTTGCTAACCATGTTCTCACTACTTCTTATTTTACTTGTTACCCAAGGTGGGTTGCTTATGCTACTGATATACTTCATTTTGATATGTCCTCGTAAATTCTCACGGCATCTGCTTTGTTTCCCACTTGAGACCTGTTTCAGCCCTGGCTAAGCCTCATGGCACTGAAACCGAAGCGAGTGGCGCCGAAGCGTCAGGAGTAGAAGCAGGTATCTGCACATGAATTCGTTCCCTACACATGTGGAGCCCCGAAATGACTATTCAAGTAGAGGGAGGTCCAATGACATCGTTGGAGTCCCTACAAAAAAATTTTATCTTACCAGTTTTGAGGGACCCATAGTGTGAATTTGAGACTACAGTAGTCTGCAGGGGATACTACGACACTTGTTTTCTCCCCCTCAAGCTCTTTCCCAGTGACGGACGGATTAAATCCTACTCGTTGGGGAGAAGATTCTATATTTTTTTGTTCGAACATTTCTAGAAAGGCACAAGAGGGCAGTATAGACGGATATGAGGCGTTCTGATGCGGAACTTCAGGTTCCAATGTCCCAACCGCGTCGAGTGTCGACGAAGCTATCGCTCAACTTCGAGCTGACCTAGAAGGATCCGCTGAATCAGGTGCCGTCACACCAGTCGTCAGTACTGGAGCTACGACGACAGAGGTAAGGCAGCCTATTGAATCCCACAAGAAAACCGAATAAATCGATTGACGGTCTTTCTCATTCCAGCATTCAAACGGCTGTAAGGTATTCGATACCTGTTACTCAAATGACGACTGCCCTGGTGGGTCATGTCTGGGAACGTTCGTCGGTAAATGCAATTGCCAGGGATGCATGAACTTCTTCAGGTAATTTTGACTGAGCTATGCAGGAGAGTAGGATTCTAGATGAGAGTTTTCAGTTGTAAAACGGATGCCGACTGTGGAGGACTGAAGGGTGCATGTTCTAAGTTCAAATTCTGCGATTGCAATGAAGTAAGTCCGCTTCGTTCCTATGAGAGTTTAGTTGAGCTGGAACGGTTGTTACGATTTGCAATTCGCGTCTAAGAGCAATCAGTTCAGTATACGGGTTAAATTTTTCGACTTGACCTCGGTGCTTGAAAATCGAACTCCATGGGTACTCTGTCGGGTCTGTGCACCTCGCAGGGTGGAGCGGAGGTCCAAATTTCGAGTCCCAAAATTCGAGGTATTTTGTTCTAGCTAGTCATTCTCTAAAAGATCCCCCCCCGAGCGAAAATTACTGTGGGTTATTACTTTGCCTATTTATAAAGCTCACGAAGCCTCCTCTGTGTTCGATGAATCTCTTTGTAAAAATTCAATGCAGTGTAGCCCTGGTTACTCATCTTGAAAGTTGTTTAGGGCTTCAAGAAGGCCGGCTACCCGTTTTTCATAGATGCCATGACGATGTTCTGCAATCAGAAGACCTGCAAAGGTGATACTGCAGATGAAGATTGCTTCGGACTACAGTGTAATTCAGGACGATGCATATGTTGATTTCTAGTCATTTTTATAAAATATCTCACGGATCAATAACCGTACTCGATGGCTCGATCGATTTCTGTAACATAGTGCTTTCATGAATATAAACTATGCATGCCTTTGTGATAAATTTTGTCAATCTTACAAGTTATCCTTAACAGTGATCCTCCCTCTTTCTTAATGAGGATCTAGAATGTGATGGGTGTTAGCCGCTATCTGGTTTTGGAATGCACTGGTTATTGTCGCTATATTTCTGCGACTTAGAGCTACAGGTTGAATATTCCGAAGAAAGGTAGGCCAATGGAAAGGTGAGTTTTTGTTTGGGGAAGTGCAAAACGCTCGCGGTGAGGAACCATACCGATAAGGGTTAACTGCATTGGGGGGACTCCTAGTTCAATTCTAAAATTTTTCGCACATGAGAGTTGGTATCATCTTGAAAGGTTGGTGTTTGTACTATGTATGCAGTCGTTTTAAAGGCAATCGCTGAAACCTTCCAAATCGGCAAAAAAACACTTTTCACCACACAGTATCAGTCAACGTGGGTCCGGGAACTTCTCCCCTAACACGGCGTCGCAGACTCCGCACCCGCCGCCTATCGCGGAATTGCGATGGAAGATTGGAGCGCGCAATTTGTGAGGTAGGGAGTCCTTTAATTATTTGAATTGGCTGGCCGCTCTTTTCAATTCCAATGCGGTCTTGATCGTCGTTTATGTAGGAGGGGTCATTCTAATTAATCAAGTCTAATAAACACGAAAACGAAAAAGAAACAGAAGAAAAAACGATTAAATCTAATAAAAAAGCAAGGCAATCAACGAAAAATTCCTATCGATTGGCGGGAGTACGGTAATTGCAGTGACATTTGCCGCAAGCCGCAAGGGAGAATGCCGCGATAGGGGAGAAGTTCCGTTACCCCAGTCAACGTGGGGAAGGACTTCTGCAGCTCGACCATGGAATGGGCTTCTGCGTGAAAAGATCTTCTTGATACTACGCATCAGGTCTGAAGATAGGATTAGGAGAGCTTGTGGCGTTCATATTATCATCCTACTGAAAGAAAGCCAGGAGCTGGAGCTGGAAAAGCAAGTCCATTGTATGAATCGTCTTTTGGGACCCAGCCCAATTCGGTCTTGAATATTAAACCCGATATGAGCAAATGCACAGATATGGTCCCCGACTGGTGAACTGCTATGGTAGTCCAGCGTGAAACATCTTGAAGCAAATGATTCACTCTCCGATATCTGAGTACCTGGTGAGCGATTGGCAAAGCCGTCATTTTTGCCCTGGATATCAGAATGGACGAATGTTATGCCCAAAAATGTTGACGCAGCATATCAAATGACCACAGAAGCCCAGTCCATCCACTGGGCTCGTAGAACTCCATGCTTGTTCCCATCAAACGAGTGAAAATATGTGAAAAGCCCATTTAGTAGCCGATACTTCTTCTTGTCACGGTGAGTTGCATGCTTCGTTGCCTTCGTCATCCTGAATGTAAATGGTCCGGGTATTTTGATTTTATGATGATTTTGGATGGTTTTATTAATAAGCTTTTATGTTTACGAGGTTATAGTTTATAGTGAATGATCATCATTCTTAGCTGCCCTTTGAAAAAGAGATTTAATCCTGAGGCTTTCCAAAGCTATTAGAAAATAGTGAAGTAGGCGAACATTAAGGGAGTCTCCATTCTTCGTATGCTCTCAAAAGGTATTAACTCTGCAACGCTGCTATAAGGGCGGATGCGCTGGCACACTCCAACTTCATGGATTAGTCTGAGCATTCCCTATACAGATGGCCATGAATGCGTTCAGCGCTCACTACGTTTCCATTGAGCTTTGAATGTTTTTACTTTCATTCAGGATTTTGTTGATCTTCAGTTGATCATCATTCAGGATTTTGTTGATCTTCAGTTGATCATTGATTTATGGCCCTATTGGAATTTTTTGATCAAGCGGGAGGCGCAGTCAAGAATATTGGTTCCAATCGTCGGCAGTCTTTCATCAACTAATCATCGCGTTACTTTAACTATGTATTCAGTACTTTTACTCACTCTGACACTTACATCAAGTAAGTTCGAACGTATTTCTCTATTTTCTTCGAATATGTCCTTGTTCCTACGTTTATGGCCAGTAATGTATGGTTTTGCGAGAAACCTGACTTGACTCGCGGTCATTTCGATTTCTCGTGTTCTCGAATCTTGATAGAGGAGCTCTCATCCCTCTGGAACCCTGAAACGTCACTTTTACCCTTTTCGCTTACAAATTGTTGCTCTCTCTTTTTCGATCTTGGTCTAGGATCTAGCCTACAAATTTACCCTACCAATTCAGTGGGTTGATCACAATGATTTCTGAACGGTACACCCCTGATAAGCATAAGGGTGGAGTGTAAAAGCATGATAACTTGCAACTATCTCAACCGCATCTGTGTGTCCCGAACTGTAGTGAGCTCTCATCAGTACAATTATAAGCGATTTATAAGCTTTGCAGGATTATCCCAACCTTACCTACCTGACTGAACAGCATCAGACTACACATATGCGTTTTTGTAATCCCGCTCTTTGATGAGCCCATGAGTTGGACCTTATGACCGACTTTGGAATAGTTTGTGAACAACATTGATTCAAAATGATTTCAGCGTTTTGTTTCCCAATGTTAGAAGATGACGACGCAGTCCTTGTGGCATCTGGAGAGTTGACAGATAAAGAGGTGGCAGACCTCAAGACATTAAGTAACTCAGCGACTGTTGTTTACTTGAACAGTGATACTGTTGAAGGATCTGGTGAGTCGGTTTAATGGTGACAAACTGGTGCGGTTTGGGTGAAATTTTACTCTTATTTCGTTTTTTTCTGAGAACTCCCATAGATGGTGAA